CACTTGACATTGTTATGTACTGTGCAAAGTATGGCACAGTTTTCTAAGAGCTTAAATGCTTCTTTTGATATGTAGCTAATCTGCTTTTTAGCACGAATCTGAATAGAGTTTTCGGTTGCATAACATTTATTGGAGGATAAATAATTATGGTAATATTTGATTTTGTATGAAGATTCTTGCCTTGTGGAGATCCAATGTTTTATGACTAACGAGAATGAAAGTTGATAAACCCCAAGTGTTGCTGATTGAATGGTTGCTTCACTGGTCACTTACTTAAGTTCCTCTTTGTGCTTGTAAATATAAATGATTTCTTCGCGATGAATGTTGCAGATTTAGAAATTGTTGGTGTTTCTGTTAAACTTTAATCTTACTGTTGTCAATTATTTTTTCCTCCTAAATCCAGGAGTTGAGATATACCTGTGATTTTGCTAAACATATCGTCTTCAATTCTTTGTGTTTCTCTTTCTTGTCTCTGTGTAAACATGTGTTTCATTGGGTGCTTGATTCAATGATCAGAAATAGATAATGATCGAGCTAGCTGTTAGGTCTGCTCCTATTATTATTGATGCAAATTAGGTCTTGCCTAACACTGTGTGCAAGAGAGACATGCAGCATTTAATCGAGGAAGAGGAGGTGATGGCACGAACTTATCAATAAAAATATTTTCAACGGATAAACTGGACACCAGTAGTTATTGGTTCTATTTGCCGTCGGGCAATGGGTTACCATGCTGCAGTCTGAACACATAGGTAGCACATGACCTTATCTTAGTAAATGATGTAGATACAATGCTTAATTATTATTTTAATGCGGGAAAAGCATTTTGATTGACTCAGTCTTGGTAATACTTGCTTCAAATGCTAATTTTTTCTCACTGTGGGAAAAACATTTTACGCATCATCATTCTTTACATGTTCTAATGACTCAGTTTCTGTGACTTTTTGAGAGAGTGACAAATATTTGTACTTTGCAGCCTACCTCTTTACAAGGCCCGCTAAGAAGGAAAGAAAGGCCAACACTGCACCACCTGTTATTCCAGCTGAGACTACTACTCCCACTCCGCCTGCTCCTCAAAATTTTGAACCCATCTTTACTCCTATTCCAGAACCTGTGAAGGTACCAGAGCCCCTTTCTGTAGATCAGCAGCGCAGTGTTTTTGAATGGATGCTAGAAGAGAAGAGGAAGGTCAAACCTCAAAATCGAGAAGAAAAGAAGAGAATCAATGAAGAAAAAGCTCTACTGAAACAGTTCATACGAGCAGATTCCATTCCGAAGATCTGATGTAACGTAGATAATTGATTCAAAATTTTCTTAGGCTGAACTTAGTTTTACTGATCCATCATTCACAACTTGGCATTCTTTTTAGATCAGTTCGCCTTCAATCTAATTGATACTACTGCTTTTTGAGTAGGCAGTTTAGATAATAGATGATATGTTACAGTAGAAATTCTTATTGCTGGTGAAGGAAATTAATGGAGTTCCATGACTGTTTCTCACTGTAGTTCATTAGATGGTCATTTGTGTTGGATATTTCATGAGTTATCTAAATGTTTTTATCTGAACGTTAAAGTCCAAAAACCCCAATGCCCAGATGATCCTTCAAATAAAAAGCATTTGCATATGGTGTTATTGATTAATAAGTTCTTGCATGTCTGTTGTGGATATTGGAACTGGTTTTCGACCACATTTTAAGGTTTTTCCATATCTTGGATTTCTGTGCCAAATGTTTTGTACCTGACACTGTGCAAAATCTGTATGTGGATGGATCGTGATGTCCACAATAAATAATTGGCCAGTCACTTTGATTTTTTTGGACATTGTCTCTTGTTCGGGTTTAGTAGGAGTAATAAGTTTAGCACAGTTATCTAAGAGCTTTAATGCTCTCTGTCCTCTGGTACCTGCTCAATCTGTTCTTTTGAATGAGTATGAAAGAATTTGAATGGTGTTCTGGATATTGTTGCCAAGGTGCATTTTATAGTTCATACCATGTATTTGAGGATAAATAAAGATAGTAATAGTTGAGTTGTGTGATATATTCTTGCTGTATGGAGAACCAATGGTTTATGATTTATGGGACTGAAAATTGACAAGCCCAAGTTTTGTTGATTTCAGATGATTCATGATACTTCTTTTGTAAATACAGATTCAGACAGAGTGGTTTGGACGGTGTAGTTGCTTCTCGCTATCCTTTCAGAAACATGCATGTCTAGTATAACTATGTTCAGATTCTTTCTTGATTACAGAAGGAATTTGGGCCTTTAAGCTTTTAGGGGATTCAAGTTGAACTTCATCTTCTGAGCAGTCATTTAGTCTAGAAAATATAAGCCTCACTCGTAACAGAAGTTCCTCTTTCTGCTTGTCATTGTGGAATATGAATGAGTTCTTCATGATGAATATTGCAAATTTAGAGAATTGGTGGTGCTTCTGTTATATATTTTTATCTTATTATGCTGAAGTGTTGTTTTTAATCTGGAGTTGGAATTAACCAGTGATTTGCCAGACATATCATCTCCAGTTTTTTGTGATTCTCTTTCTTATCTCTGTATAAACATGTGTTTCGTTGGGTTATTTGATTCAGTGATCAAGAATTTGATGACTATAGAGATAGAGGTTGAGTTCTGCTCCTATTATTAATTAGGTCCTGCCTAGGACTGTGTATGGGAGCAGACAGACAGACAGACATCTACTTGAGGAAGAGAGGTAATGGCACAAGTGATTAGTAAAAAATTTGCATGAGAATAAAAGGACAGATGTACTTATTGGTTCTACTTGCCTTTGGGCGCAGGGAAAACGTGCATCACTATGCACATACATGTAGAATGTAGATCCACTTGTTTATATGACCTTATCTTAGTCTATGATGCAGTACTGTACTTAACCACCATTGTTGTGTGGGGAAAACAATTTGATTGTCTCAATTTTTTGTAATACTTGCTTCAAATGCTAATTTTTTCTCACTCAAGTGTAACTTTATAGTTAAAATCTGGAGCCATGTACTTAATAAAAACTTCATATCGAGTACATCATGGAAGGTGTTGGTGAATTTGTTTTCTTATTTCTGGCTAGCATTTTGAAACATTTCACTTAAATCCTTCATTCTTCAGATGTTTTAATAGCTCAGCTTCTGTGACTTGTGAAAAATTGATAGATGTTTTTACTTTTGCAGCTTACCTCTTTACAAGGCCTGCTAAGAAAGGAAAGGAAAACTACCGCTAAACTACGCATTACTCCAAGTAAGACTACTACTCTCACTCTGCCCCTCTCTGTAGAGCAGTAGCACAGTATTTTTGAATGGATGCTAGAAGAAAAGCGGAAGATCAAACCTCAAGACCAAGAAGAAAAGAAAGAAAGGCGCTAAAGAAAAATCTCTACTGAAGTAGTTCATATGAACAGATTCCATCTTGAAGATCTGATACAAACCTGGCCGTTCATTTAATTCCATTTTTCGTCGGCTGAGATTAGTTTTACTGGTACACATTTACTACTTGGCATAATTTTCTTAAATTAGTTCACATTTGATCTAACTGATACTACTGCTGTTTTAGGAGGCAGTAATTGATGATAAATGATTAGATATAATAGATATTTTTGTTGTTAGTGGAGGAAATTAAATGGAGTTGCATTACTGATTTGTTTAGTGAAATGAACTTCTTGCCAACTGCTTTTCGGAAAATGGTGTCATTTGTGTTTTGATAATTCATGAGTTATCACAAACTACCCGCCCCAGACCCCGCTTGTGAGATTACACTAGTTTTGTTGTTTTATCACAAACCATCATTTGTATTTTGAGCTACATGGTTATCTATTATCCTCTATTGCGGTTGTGTGGAAACCATTGCAAGCTTGTCTTGGAGATATTGAAATCTTCTTATGGATAGGCTTTTGGTGAGGACATCAGCAATTTGATTTATTGAACTATTTTATACAGAGCCTCCCAAGTTCTTAGATGCAACTTCTTCAGAAAATTAAGCATTTTGGCTTTTTCTGCATTTGCCCTGAATGGGACATGCCATATATAGTTGTTAAAAATTACTCCCTCCGTTCACTTTTAGATTCTAAAAATAAATTTTCATTTTTACTTGTAACTTTTCGTATATCATGAGAAAAATAATTTATTTTTCCTATTTTGCCTTTAGCATTAATTACTCATTTCAAATCATTTTTTAAATCCATTAAAACTATACTCCAATTAATATGTGTATTATGGTAAATTGTGCACTATGTTTCTTAAGGGGTGTGCAAAGTCCATAGTGGACAAGTAAAAGTGAATGAAGGGAGTGTTTGAGATTTCCCCTTTTAGTTTGCATCCGTTAATCTTTTATGCTCTTTTAAAAATAATCTCTCTACCTTCACCATGTTAGATCTGCATACATTCTACCATTTTCAGATCCCACTTGCGGAATTATACCTTAGTTTGTTGTTATTATTAATGTACTCTTTTGTGCATCCTAAATACACGACCAGTTTTTTACACACAAAAATTTATTCGAGTTGTAGTTAATACATATATCATTTTGTTCGTGTGGCCTGAGTAAATTAATTAACTTAGTACAAATTTATTCAGGTACCTTATTACATATTTAAAAACTATATGAAAAAGTTTAAGTTAACGGAGTTAATAATTAAAAATATTTAAAAGAAATTGAGAAAATGATAGTGATCAAACAAAAACTGTTTGACTTTTTAAATAACACGTCACATAAGATGGGATTGAATGAACATGATTAAACCATATTAAGAGGTTTTTTCAACTTAAACCTTAACCTTTCTTGGGTTTTGGAGCCCTAGAGTTTGTGAAAGATCAAGTCCGAAACCTAATTGTGGTCTTTTTGGATCAAACGACACAAATAGGTAAAAAACAAATTGAGTACCATTTTATATATAGCTCGGTTATTCACCGCGCTATATTTGAACTAAAAATTGGCAGGAGGTATAACGCGCATATAGAAGGCGCTATATTATAGCGTCTTCTATATGCGCGCTATGCCTATATAAAAAACCTTTCCATTTCCTTCCCCCTCCAGACGCGAACCAGCAAACCCTAAAAACCAAAAATCGGTCCTCCCCCTCCCCATTTTTAAGGCAAAAAACTCCATTGGAGCTCACCCGTCCCACAAAAGTGTATCTTCTCGATATTGTAGCAAGCTAACACCGGATCTAAGGCGTCTTAGTTGTTTTTACTGTGGTCCATGTTTTTTCGTGATTGTTTTGTGATTTTAATTAATTTGTTATTTTTTATCCAGATTAGATTATTTTTGTGCTAAAACTTAGTAAAATAGATAAATTGTTAGTTAATGAATAATTAATGTTATTAGTTGTTATAAAAAATATTTATTAGTTGTGTTTTACTGTGGTACATGTATTTTCGTGATTGTTTGTGATTAAATTAATTTGTTATTTTTTATCCAGATTAGATTATTTATGTGCTAAAAATTAGTGAAATAGATAAATTATTATAATATAGTGTTATGTTGTGCCCGTAATTGTAATGTAGTGTCATTTAGTGTTATAGTTGTGCCCGTAATTGTATGTAGTGCCATTTAGTGTTATATTGTGCCCGTAATTATAGTACCCTTTAGCATAGTAAACTGATAATAAATTTTAGCTAATGGTGGTTGACTTTGTTCATGGCCGTTTAGAGTAATATTACTTTAGTGGAAAAATGTTGGTAGCTAACAGATGAAATATTAATATAAAAAATATTATCAACCTAAGTATCTGTTATATGAATAATTACTAAATTATCTTTATAGTTTTTGAAATTAATCATTTAATTATTTGTCAACCACAAAAATAGTCGAGTAAGAAATAAACATATAAAATAATAAACTAACATTTAAAATAAGAAACAAACATATAAATAATAAACTAATATATAAAATAATAAACTAACATATAAAATAATAAACTAATATATATAAAAAATAAATTAATATAGAAAATAATATTATAGAAAATGTATCAACGTAAGTAATAATATAGTAAAAGTATCGATTAAATATTAATATAAAAGATATTGCAATATATTAAAGATGTCAAGCAATTAAAAAGAAAAATACTTCAATTAATATTGTTCAATTTACAGACATCGTCATGGAGGTTCCCCTGTGCATCCCGGACTTGCATCTCGAGAGCTACTGTTGCTACAGGGCAACCATAGGTCTTCATACATCTGGGATGAGCAGTGTCTGCCCCAGACATTCCGCTCCAGACGTGTAGACGATATGTGGGAGTTCATTAGGGACCACCTACTCCATCCTCGTATAGTTAGACGCCTTCAAGATACGGGTTTTGACAGGATCATAGAGATCGGTCGATTAGAGTTCGACTGGGCGTAAATCACGGCTATGATAGAGTGGTGGCGACCGGAGGCGCACACGTTTGATCTACCCATCGGCGAGGCTACCATCACGTTTGAGGACTTGGAGGTTCTTTTCGGGCTGCCGGTTGATGGATTACCTGTAGCTTACTCGCACGCTCTTAGAGACTATAGGGGATTGCATTACCTGCATATGTTGCAGCGGCTCAACGGTTTCCAGCTAGTGGAGGAGACTGCATTGAATGGGGCCAGTCGATTGTAGCTGACCCCCGTCTGGCAGTATCTGGAGGCGATTGATGCGGAGATTACGGATGATTCACCGCCGGAGGATATCAACCGGCACACGAGATTGTTGCTGCTGCTGCTACTGTTTGGTGGTGTAGTGTTCTCTAACACTTTGGGAAACCTGGTTAGTTTGAGATTTCTACATCATCTAGAGCGGTTAGATGATTTACCTGGTTACAGCTGGGGTGCAGCTGTTTTAGGCTACCTGTATAGGCAGATGTGCCGGGCGTGCATGGGAACCTAGAGAGACGTTGCCGGATTTTTACCCCTGCTGCAGGTGAAAACATAGTCAATTCTTGGAATGGATGATCTTAACTACCTGGAAGGAACGGAGGATCACTAATGGGATTTATTAGAAAATAAAAAATTGCATAGAGACAATGATTATCCTATTTTCCCAACAGTTGTCGAGTGAGAGGGACTACCTAAGTTTCTACCACAGACGTTGGACGTAGGAGTCCCATAATGTTATAGAAATCAAGCAAGTGGTCTTATTGATGATAGCGATGAAATACGAGAAATGTGTGTCAACTGGGGCCTAGATTACGAGGCCCTCGGTCCCGAAGGGTGCACAAGATGTTGACGAAGAAGATGAAGACAGTGACCGTCGCGCCCCTTTTTCTCGCGAAATCGGGTTTCGACATTGACAACTCTTTTAAGGAAGGGTTTTAAAAGAGATAGTCGCCACCTAACGGAGTAAGGTGCGTTAGGGCACTTATTTGCAAATAACTCTATTTAACCATTTTGCGTCACCAAAGATCGGGTAAGGGCTCGAAATTACCTTGAAGAGAAGGTGTTAGGCACTCTTCGAGGTCCACAACTGTAGGTCCCGGCCGAGCTCAAGTATATGAATTAGTCTATGTGATCAAAGATAAGGAAATAAAGGGATATGGGGGGTTCATTATTAAACACAAATAATTGATGAAAGACAAGGTGGGGTGGGGTGGGGGGGTCCTAAATTTTTTAGCCTAAAGGATCACCCCGTGCAATATAAATAATACTTCGTAACTCCCTCAAGATGGGTGTTACTCATATTATTCAGCGGGCACAGACTATCATCTCATGCTACCCAATTACTATCTTTAAGTTTTTTACCTGAAGCACACTAGTCAATTCTAAGTCGTACCCTATGCGTGCACTACCCGTCCCATGCCTATGGTCCAGGAGGCGTTTTGGACCTCTTTTTTGGATAGTTCTAGACCTGACTTAGGTTGCTTAAAATGAGAAAACTAGACAACATACAAAACAAGTTGGAATTCACATAAAAAAGCAGATAAGGGCTCAGATTAGCCTCCACACATTAGGAAGCAAATGCACGCAAACAGATTGGCGTATTGACAGTTCAGAATTTGGATCCTATAAACATGATTTCTATGTGATTCTGGATTTCAAACATACTGGTAGTTCATGAAAGTAATTTCTACGTGACTGTGTAGTTGCCTACTGATTTCGGTTAGAAGCATTTAAACCTATGGCATGTGATCTAGGTAACTTATTCAGCAATTGACAGTGACAACAACAAAAAATACTCAGAATTACTTAGTTGTCTCTATAGGCATGCTTTCTAGTGACATAATTAAGCAGGTTTTATCAATTAGTCTACTGAGTTAAGCATGTCTAAAACACATAGATCAATTAGTCTAATAACAGTAGCGTACTGAACAAGTGACACAGTAGAGAAGTTTCATCAACTTACTAGTTCAGATGAAACAGAAAGAAGTTTAGCAATGCAGCAATGATCATCAACATCAACAAACAATAGAAGATTTCTGGCCTTGGCTTCCGACCGGCCAGGAATCAAAGCAGAATGATAACAGTATATAGTTTTAGTAGTGAGAAATACTCGAGTTCTTAGTCTGTCTGAAGGGGAAAGGGGGGAGGGGTTTAAATAGTACTAGACTAGAGCCCACAAATAAGGAATAATCAATCAAGGAAAGCACCTAACGGTTAATTAAGGAAAGAAAACTCAGAACCTTATTTAAGGTAAGCCAGAAGTAACAAGTGCATAGACACGTAAAATATATAGTCAGAGATTTTAACACTGTAATTAGGGACTCAAACAGATTTGGGTAATCAAAGACTCCTAAGTTTAGGGTAAGTGAAATTGGTCAACAATTAACGGCAAGAATCATAAAAATAGATAGACAGAATCACTGAAGGAAAAAATAAAATAAAGAATCGAAAATCCTAATTTTTAGGGTAAGTAAAATTGACGGAGATAATCAAAGGCAAAGCTATAATAAAAATGCATTGCAACATTAAAGATTGAACCAGATTTGGTTCGATTTTTTAAGAATCAAAAACCCTAATTTTTAGGGTAAAAAATTAGTCAGAAATATCTACGAAAAATCATAATAGAGAATCACATAGATAGATATACGGAAAAAACTAAAGAGAAGTATTTAACAAAAATAGAAAAACTATAGCATATCTTGAAAGATCTGAACCCTAGCTTTAGGGTAAATGAAGAATCGAGAAAATCTCAGAGATTCATACCATAAAGAGACGAAGAATGAACATAGATGGAAAGAAGTGAAGGTTTGAACCAGATTTGGCTCCAAGCAAGAGAAATCTACTTGCCATGTTAGGCAAGTGATTATGTAATACCATAATCGGTTAACCAGTAATATGAGACGGCCAATAAGGTAAGGAGATCGTCTATGGATTCCATCTCTGAGTTGGAATCGAAGGGGAGTGGGATTACGGTGCTAGGGTTTCAGAAGAGGGGAAGAAGAGAGAGTTTGAGGGCGGCGGGGTTTAGGGAATGAGGGATTAGGGTTAGAGATGGTTAATTAAAAAGCGAAGGGTGAACGGGGGCCGTTGATCTTCCAGGATTAAAAAAAAGGGTTTGGGTCGGGTATAGGAACGGGTATCGGTTGGTTTATTGAGTCAGGGGTTATTTGATTTGGGCTGGGGGTTATTTGAGCTAGGGTGTTAGATTTTGGGCGAGGGGTTGGTCCGAATTTAAATAAAAATGGGCCATATTTTACATACCCAATTTTAACAAATAAATAATTTATAAAAATAATAAATGAATACCAAAAAATATCCTTTGTGCGCTAAAATAATTTAAAATAGTTATTTAATATTTTAAAAATATAAAAGATCATTTCTGCATAAGTAATGTGATTATACACTAATATGGGCTATTATTGCAAAGATGTGCAATTTAGCCTAAAAATGCAAATGTAATTATGAAAAATGCACTAAAAATATTTAAGCACTATGTTGGCATAAATGGTGAATTTAGATGAATAAATCATCATAAAAATAATATGAAAGATAATTATCGGATATTTATACAATAAAAATTCAAAAAATAAATTGATTTAAAGCCCTTAAAATTATAGAAAAATACTTGTGCATGCTTGTAAATCCAATGATAATGCATGTGCACTATTTGAAAGTATATATGTATATTAAAAATATATGAGGGAAAAATTGGGTATCAACAGCTGCCCCTCTTTACCCGGGAAGGATGAAAGAGTTGTCGGGTAAAGAAATGATGACCGATTTCGACCGAATAGGGTAATTTAAAAGACATAGGCCGCACTCCGCTTTTTCGAGCTGCCTACATATCCCTGGTTTTACAGGAATCAGGCCATGTGTACTTCTGGATCCAACGGTGAATGAAACCGATGGAGTTGTTATAGGAACGGTCGTGTGTTTCGCCTAGGTTCTTTTGAGTAGGATAGTATCGGATGAATTTGTGCGAAGTCATGAATGTAAAGTTATGGATGTATCATAGGGCATATATCTGAACGGTCATAGGGTAAAGCGAGTAATTGATGGGAGTTGGTTACGTTTGAAATAATGGCAGGGTGTGAATGGTATGAACGTAAACCGGAGCGAAGGTTGCTCCTGTTCGAAGAACGGTTTACCTCCTGAGTTACATGCAAAAACTCAAAACACGATGCGCGTAAATATATATAGGTTATTGCGACAATTTAAACATGATGCAAATTCCCTTTGGACCATGAAGATTGTCTTCAGATGGTGAGGATGGTGTCCTTAGACCATGACGTTCTGGGCCATGAAGCGTGAGATAAGGGATCCGCAGGCCATGAAATGATGTTCTCGGGCCATGAGAATGGTGCCTCTGAACCATGACGCCTTTGAATAATGATGTGCAGTATTGAGAGATCCTCAGGCCATGGCATGGTGTCTTCAGGCTATGAGGATGATGCCTTTGGACTATGACGCCTTTGGATAGAGACATGATGATGGATCATATGAGCAAAACAAGACAGAGCTTAGTGTTGCATAGGATCGGGACATAGCTTAGCCCCGGAAAAGGCAAAATAGTGCTAGGTTTCAGATAGTGTAACATTCAGTATTAGACAAGGAAAGGCAGAGCTTAGCCTTATGCAGTTGGGGAGGCAGGGCTTAGCCTCATGCAAGAAGAGGAGACAATGCTTAGTCTCATGCAGTGGAAGGCAGTGCTTAGCCTTATGCAAATAGGGAGGCAGGGCTTAGCCTCATGCAAGAAGGGGAGACAATCCTTAGTCTCATGCAGTAGAAGGCAGTGCTTAGCCTTATGCAAATAGGGAGGTAGGGCTTAGCCTCATGCAAGAAGAGGAGACAATGCTTAGTCTCATGCAGTGGAAGGCAGTGCTTAGCCTTATGCAAATAGGGAGGCAGGGCTTAGCCTCATGCAAGAAGAGGAGACAATGCTTAGTCTCATGCAGTGGAAGCCAGTGCTTAGCCTTATGCAAATGGGGAGGCAGGGCTTAGCCTCATGCAGGATTCGAGACAGTGCTTAGTCTCATGCGAGGAAGGTAGTGCTTAGACTTATGCTAATGGGGAGGCAGGGCTTAGCCTCATGCAAGATTCGAGACAGTGCTTAGTCTCATGCAATGGACAAATAGCAAGTAGGAGCAGAATATTTCTTAGCTGGAGATATATTTCCGTGGCGGCCTTGCCGTTATGAAGATAGTGATTTTGGTATGTGTATACTTGCGAATGCTCCTATCATGTTCATTGTGCTTGCATCCAAAGAAAAATGGTGAGTTTTGCGGGGAAGGTTGGTTCGTGCCTTTGCCTACTTGTTTTTCTTTGCTTTGCTCTGGGGATCCGGTTCGAGTTATCCTGGGTAACATCTGACTGCTATAGAAATAACGTTTTCGAAAAAATACGCGTGTATTTGATGAAATAGAGTTATTCAAAAAAACATAGTGGTATGTAATATCAAGTAAATTAGATGAACTAATGACTGCGACACTTTAGAGACATTGCGCTTCTTTG